TTCCTTTTATTTGCTTTGTGGTAACCTGTCTTGCGCGTGTAGCTTCTGCAGGTGTAATTTGATTTTTATCGTCATTAACCATTTTTGTTATGTTATTTATTACTATATAGTGTAAACTGAGCAATAAATAATAATTAATACCGAATACTCTGTTACGTATATACGATATTTTTTCGGACTAGATAAATATTTAAATGCGAAATAAATTTTTTAATTTGTATTTTATTTTAAATATTTTGTTGTGAGTGTAATTTAAATTTTCTTAATTTAATTATTAAGGATCGAACTTTTAATTTAACAATACTTTTATGTCCTTATGCTGGTGTATTTAGCTACACCCTAATACACGGACTTGTGTTATGTGCTCGTGAAATTGAGAGTTCGTTGAAGAGATCAACACTTTGTACATAAGTATGCACGAATTGTTTGTGCGTATGTAATATTTTTATTTTCTAGGGCAATTGAGAGCTCGATGTAGAGATCAATGTGCTTTTATTTTTTTGTACGCAATCCTGCTTGTTTGTTACAAGGTTTATTGCGGGATGTATGCCAATTGTGGACTTTGAAAATATGTACAATTATAATTGTATATGTTTTAATATGTATATATATTTAAATATTATTTTTGTTTGTGTGCAATTGAGAGCTCGATAGAGAGATCAATGCGTTTTTGTTTGGTTCTCTTTATTTGTCTTTTAATTTTTGTTATATGTTTGTGCCTTTGCTTACTTATTTTAGGCAATCCTGCTTACTGTTTTTGTTAAAAATAAGGGGTATTGCCGGAAAATATCTGCAAGTAAAGACTTGAATTATGTGTTCGTTTTTTATGTTGGTGGAATATGTGTGTTTGAAAACACAAAGGTAAGCTTATAGGAATACAATAATTATTTACATATTATATATCGATTTTTCCCGTGTTTTATACCAGTTTGATAATCGTTTATCTACGAGTATTAGTAAAAACGGATTTACTGCTAGAGGTTTTACGCTTTATAAAACCGTATTCAAACATACATATTTACATATATAAAGTTATAAGTGAAATAAATACGCTCACTTTGGTTTTGCAGGGGTAGGTTTCTGTTTGTATGTACGCATGTGTGTTCCTTTGTTGTCAATTCCTTTTCCTCTGCTTCCAGTTGTGCCTGGTTTTAGTGAGTGTTGTTCTTGTTTATTATCGTTTGTTTTAAATTCGCGCCCGTTTAAGTTATTGCTAAGTATGCAATTAGGTATTTTAGTTTTCGCGCTCGATTTGTGTTGTATTAGTTAATTAAACCCTTTTTTGTTTGTGTTTTGACACTCACTTTATATAAATTCGTTTGTTAATATGTTTTTTTTTTTTGTTTTACTACACTTGTTAGACCTATGTATGTGTTAGGCTATTGGTTAGTTTTTTGTTTTGAAGTTGGCTTTGTATATTTTAAAATATGTATATATGTAGCCATGCATGTACATATGTATATACATATATTTTTTTTCGTTTGCGCTTTATTGTTATAATAACTTAAATTAACCGCATTTGTTTTTGGTAAATATATGTATTTATTATTGTGCACCGCACTTTGGGTTTTTGTCACAGCACTTCAACCTTTTCGATAAGTTACATATATACATATGTATGTTTATGTTTATTTTGTTTGGTTCGTATTTGGTCACCGCCCTGTGTATATGTAACTAATTTTTTTTTTTTTTAAATGTTTTTTCACTCCATAGTGCCTCTCACTATGGCTCGAAGGACCATGATTAATTATGCTACAATGTTAGCACTCACGAAAGACATGTTATTTCCCTTTTTTCATAAAACGCTCTTTGTAGGTTTAAATTAAAAATGTTTATTTTTTTTATCAAATGTTATTTTCACAACCTTTGAACTAAAAGTTAATACCACGATTTCAAAAAGGGCGGTAGCGGAGATAGCGATTATACGGTGACGTTGCGCAAAAGAGATCGGAATTATTTCGAATGTGTTGAATTGAAGATCCAATCCTTCTTTTATTGTTGATTGTGTGGGGTGTCATCGTGTATGGTGGCAACTTCTGTGGTGACATCGTGTGCAGTGTGGTCGTGTATGTTGTGTTCCAAGGTGTGGTGTGTTGTATTAGAGTGTGTCATTATTTACCCTGATGAAGCGGTGTTGGAAGGGGATTTTATAGTCATTTAAACACTTATTTACATTTTATTTTGTTTAATATTTTTTTTAATTTTGACAGTTTGTAGTGTCTAAATCAGCTGTGATAATGTGATAAATTTCCCTACTAACGAACAGATGGCGCTAGCCAGAATCGCATAGGGAGGTTTCGAGTAGATTAGCTTCAAATCTATTCGGTAACGATATAAACAAGTGTCATTTCTGTATGGCGAAATCTTGGTAAATCTTTAATTAGCTTGATATTAAATCAACATCTCGAACAAGCAAAATGTAGCAATGAAACTAAGTAAATCTATGACCAATAATATAGGTGTGTTATTGCGATACCAAATTCGATTGTAATCCATTCAGTTTCTTCCAATAATGCATGTTGAATTCTTACGCAACATTTTTTAATATAAAGAATTGCAACAGCTAAAAATATAACACCCGTAGTTAGGCCTTCCTCACTTGTTTATTACAATTTGTATGCAGTGTGTACTCATATTTAATAATCAGTTCGGTGCTTGCTTTAGCTTATTAACAATGGAGTGGGAAGCTAAAGAAAATCGTATTGCATGGATTGCTTTAAATAAGTAAGCACAAGTGAAATTTACGATCTTCTCAAAAAACTGTGTTTACCGCAATAATAATCGTTTTACCCAACCGTCTACAGTTGATGACAGAATGAAAAGTGGTCGTTCTAGCGTGGTACAATCCAATTCCAAATCAACGTCAAAATTTATTCGAGATTATCTCCACAGTAGCGCCTGCCGTCGGTCAACTGGTCATTGTTTAACAATGCGCTTGAAGCAAATTAGGCTCAAAGATGTAAGCGGCTTCTTCAGTGGCAGGCTACCAACTGCCATGATAGTACCCTTTTTACAGATGAACAAATTTTCACAATTGAAGGAGTTTTTAATAATAAAACGACAGAATCTTCGCAGAAAGTTCCAAAGACGCAAAAAATATTATTCCAAAAGTTCAACGTTCAACGTGAGCACTCGTGGGGAGTATCCTGTAAAGGTGTTACCCCTCTTAATTTCTGTGAAAAGGTGAAATGTGAGTCTCAAGTAAACAATGTTATAGAACGCATTGAAAAGCATTGGATCTTACAGTAAAATTCTACTCCAGCACACAAAGCTAAAACCGACAGTAGTGGCTTAAAAACATTATTCCTGGTTGCCTGCATGCTTAGCTACATATATTAGATGCGATTATGTTGACATAAGAAGTTCCCATACGACTTTGAAAGCTCTATAACCCTACTCTTAAGAAACATTTTGATGTTATTTTCTCTAAGGCAATCAAAAGTCCAGTTAGAATCCATAACACAAAAATAAAATTCTTCCAAAATATAAATAGTGGACTTCAGAGACGAAAGCGTCTTGGCAAATAAACCAGTGTTATGTGTGACCTGTGGCAATTCACGGCGTTTGGGAAATCATAGAAAAACTACTACTAACTTACTACATACATATATCGACAAGGATTCAGTTATTAGTTTGATGATGGCGGTTTAAAAGATAACCATGTTATAACTTTTCCAATGAGTAACACAAGGAAAGTGCCTCATGCCATGTCTCGTCGACAATCCGAAGCAGACTAGTGTGTTAACTGTAAGCAATGTATAGCAGCTAAAGGCCTAAAATCGAGACATCATGATAAAGGCTGAAATGAACTGACCGTTGAACTGAGAACAATGTTACCACACAGATCACTAGAAGATTACGAGTCCATATAAAACTACTCTCTTGGAAACTTTTGTTGTATTTGAAAAAACACACCTGTTTGGTGTTCAGTTGCTTGTAGCGTGCAAGTACTCGGTGAAAAGTAAAAATCATATTATGTGTAAAATTAAATAAGTAAACTCTGTTTGAAAGTGTTTAGTACTACAAGTTATACATAAAAAAATCTTATACAAGTATATAAAATCATAACAGTATTATAACGTTACAATAGTAATGGGTTGAGTTGAATTAATTATAAAGCATGCACTTCAGAAAGTCGCGGAGCAATATATCACTAAACCCAACCATCGATAGCTCTTGTCTAATAATAACATTTATTATTTGATAATGACTAAGCCTTTATCCTATATCAAGAGCTGTTGTCCAAGAAATAAAGCCATTAGCTTAAGCAAAGATAACTGGATTGGCTTCACAAAATTTACAGAGAATGGATAGGATGGCCCCTTCACACGAAACAGTGTCAGTATCAGCATAGAAGAGATTTCAAAACAGATATTCGATAACCGATAATTCACCAAGATCGGACGAAACGGATAGAGCAAATGAAATCTTGTAGCATTGTTATCCAATCGAAGGAAGCACGACCGTGTTGAAATTCAGTCTGATTGACATACTTCACAAGATATTTTAACCGACCAAACGTTCATCCTGACACTAACAACTCTTTAATTACATGGTATGTGAATAATCGGAAAATTAGTACCTCCACTTAAACCGACAATATGCAGTCAAATCGCATCAACATGACGTCATCATTAAACAAACTTACCATAACTTTAAACTGTTTTATTTACATAATAGCTACCACCATGGAACCATTTTGGCGAAAATGTACGCAGTTTCAACGTCACTAATTATTCAAATTGTTTTCTAACCCGGAATTTTCGCCATATTTTAAGTGACTGATTGTATGAAATGGTTATTTATTGAAAACATAATAGAAGTATCAAGAAAGTAAGTGATAACTTAGCACATACACAAAGAGACCAGGGAAATTGATTTTTTCCTAATTAACTGCCGTCCCTAAAAAAAAGCATCGAGCGTCGCGTTTTAAACACTGTGTTAACGCCGACGCGGAATCCCTAAATAAAGCGGTAATTTTACGTAAATTTTTCACTTAAATTCTAAAATTAGTACAAAAGAAATCAAATGCAAAACGAATTAATTTTTTTAATAATACTGACATCCATTTTTACAAGCATTAAACACCGCGCGTCAAGAATATTTTCAGAAAAATTACAATTTCTTCGTTTTCTGCAGCCAACTTTACTTCTTAATTCGGTGTTAAAATCGAATTTCTTCGTACGGTCGGACGGCATTTTACTTTATAATTATTTTAACAATGCAAAATGGCAATAAGGTAATGTCCACTCGTGCTCATATAATTAAGTCACTGCATGGCAAACTAACGTTTTACAATATAAAGTCCTCGAAGTAGATTTGCATTTGTATAATGGTATGGAAAAAGTTTCAGTTATCTGTTTCGAAATTGCTAAAAACAAATTCAGAGAAATTAGTAATGTGGTTGGCGAAAAAATTTAAATTGTTTCGCAGTTGGTCTAGTCACGTGTGCTCACATAATTAAGTCATTGTAACAAAAGCCGTTATTGCAACGATCTACGTAAAAAAAATATTAAGAAAGTGAAAAGTGTATTGTCTTCACTAATTTGAATACATTTTTTGAAAGCTTTATAAATAATGGTCAAAAATAAGAGCTCAGCTCCGTGTGAAAAAAAAATCATTTGGGTATGTTACCAAAAGTACAAAAAAATTTCGACAGTAACGGAATATTTGACTTTTTTTGGGGGAAAGGTTAAGAATAATATGCAATATTTTAGGAAAGATGAGATCATTGAAAATTTGGCCTATAAAAAACCGAGAAATACAACATTTAATGACGATAGGCAAATAGTACGGATGAGCCATGTCAGGCGACCACCACTACAAGAATTAAACCCACGATATACAAAATAAAACCATTAATAATGGTGGATCATCAACATGCATGTCAGAAAAACTGCTTGAATGCTACAAAAATATGTTTTTTTTTGCATTGGATTGTGACTGGTGATGAAAAATTAATCCATTAGGACAACCCTAAATGCAAAAAAATCATATGTAAAACCTGACCAACCAGCCAAATCAACGGCAAAGCTGACTATCCATGACGCCAATGTAATCCTCTGTATTCAGTGGGATCAAAACGGGATTGAATCATCAAACACCGCTACAAACAACTCATTGAAGCGAATGCCGAAAAACGCCCGGAATTTGTTGCTAGACACGAGCCAATAATTTTCCACCATGACAACGAGCAGAGTCATGTTCGGGTCGACGCAGAACGCTCGCGCTGGAATACGGTTCACATTAGAACAGGATATCCAAAATTCCTAAGACGGCGCGAATGGAATCCACAAATTAACAAAAAATTAGGAATTAAAGTAGAGGTCCTTTGTCATAAGCCTTTTTTTTTTGACAGATCACGCGTGAATCGTGTCAAGCTGTCATGTTATTTTTGTTCAGCAGTGTTCGGCATTTCAGGAGACATTTCACAGGAAAGACTTACGCATGAAGAACGTTTACAAATCGTTCAACTTTATTACGAAAAAAAGAACGAAAATTCATGCTGTACAGAATGTTTCGCGGCCTTCGCTTATGGTCAACATAATCGGCTTACTGAGCATACTAAATATTTGCAACACCATCACCCATCTTAAGACCCAGCATTCATTGTTGGATAGTATACGACCGAATAGACCACGTCCAGCACGCATTAAAAAAAATATAGCGATCGTACTGGGAGTGTGTGTCCACGAAAGCCGTGGAGAGTCGATTCAGCGCCGTTCATCAACTCGGACTGACTTATGGAACGACTTGGCGCATTTTACGTCAAAATCAAAATAATTTCAAGTTTTGAGCCAGTCGATTGGCCATCAACATCGTCTTATATCACACCGTTAGACTTATTCCTGTGGAGATATGTAAAGTCTAAAGTCTATGCGGACAATCACGCTTCGATTCAAGCCAGTTACCAGTCGAAATGCTCGAACATCATTGAAAATTGGACTCAACAGATGGACCCTCTGATACGTAGCCGCGGCAAACATTTGAAAGAAATAATTTTAAAAAAACAAATGCCAAATAATGTTCTCTCGAATTATAATAAACATTCCCCATTAAATTTGAATTTCCTCTTTTTTCTTTTAAAAAGTAGGAACCTCGAAATGGCTTCGTGGCATTGAGTCAACAAGTTTTTGGCATCTTCGGTCAAAATAGAATTTGTTCTTCACAGCCTCTCATAGTTGCGTTGTCAATGTCGGTTTACATCGGGCTACAAACTCCTTAACATCAGAGCACAAATTTACGATGGGGTTGATGTCAGGGGACTGGGCGGCCATTCCATTATGTTGACATTCCTTTCTTCAAACCACTTTTTAGCAACTTTACTTGTGTTTTTGGTTTCATTCTTCTGCTACAATGTCCAAACAAACTACATTTCTTCATTGGCATATGGCAGCATGGTGTTCTGAAGTATTTCGGCATAGGTGTCACCATTTTTGTTTTCCTTGATCCAATAAATAGGTCCGACACCTTGCCAAGAAAAGCCTACACAAATCATTGCACTCACCACTCCAAGTTTTACCGTTGTTGTTATATTCCGTTTGGTAGTCGATATTGGGTTTCAACTCGGCCAACCATAAAATGTTGCGCCATTATGTCAAAGACCAATTTAAATGTTCTTTGGCGAATCGAAGTATTTTGTCATCATGCGTTTTTGGCAATAACGGCACTTTTCATGGACTTCTGGCACCCAGGTCGTGATCGCGCAAACGCCGGCGTACAGCTCCAATTCTTGAAGTTAAATTAAACGGTTATTTTAACTCTGCATCAGCCGCAAATGTTAATATGAGTATCTGACAATGAAATTGACTGCTGTTTCTGACATTGCTGGCTTCTTTCCACATTTTTTATTACTTAGTTGGAATATGATATTGTAGCATTAGGTACGATTGTGGGTGGGCAACCAAAAATATTTTTGATTTCCGACATAAGTTTTGCCCTCAGAAATAAATTTTTTATCAGCGTAAATTTTTATTTTTCGACAAATGAAGAACAATAAAATTTTAATATTATAAACAAAAATTTCATTGGAATAAATTAATTTCACTGTTATTTTCAAAATTTCATAAAGACTTTCAGATCATTTTTGCAAATAAAAAATCCCATAATTGTAACAAAAACAGCAAACTAAGCGAAACAATTCATGTTTTTATGTCGACTTCTGACACGGATTTTAAAGTGAATCCCAAAAATAAAATGTAATAAAAAAGTTTAATCACATAGATATTAAGAGTGCTCAGCACTACTAACATTTTGACCCCAACTGTATATGCATGTATGTAATTAGGTAAATATACTTATACTTGTACTATTAATGCGTCAAATTTAGTCAATACATTTTGCGCGCTGTTATTACAATGCCTATATGCGAATTTACATGAAAAATTTGGTCATAAGTCAAAATTAAAAAGGACGTAGACTCTCATCAATCGTTTTCTTGATACATAATTACTTTATTAAATATTGTAGTAGACGCCTAAGCAATCAGCACGCTCCGTCGGAACTTAGTAATTTTTGTATGTAATTATGTTTATGTTTTTATTTCCTCAATTTATTGCTGTTAACTGCGGCTATGAATAGTAAAGACTAAAATTCTTCTTGGACTTGAAAACATGGGGTATTACTTTATATTTGCAATTTAATTTTTTTTGTTATTTTACGAGTCCTCTTCAACCAACTCTTCACCTTTTTTCAGTAACACCAGTAATGGCAATACATCTAGAATTTTTTTCGAGGAAGAGGCCAGAAATGAACACTTCCGAAGATACCACTTCGATGTTTCGATACAATTATCTAGAGTGAAGTGTAATAGAAATATCCTAAATATGCTATTACTTACATCTATCCCATCAGATCAAAGTTGTAGCAGTTAAAAGAGAAACCCAAAAAAACGAAGCCATTTTCTGACGGATTTTCGAAAAATTTAGCACACTGTGTCCAGCTTGATCCAACTTAAAAGATAGGATAGTTCAGATCTCAAATATGTTAATAGTAAAATCAATTCATAAATAAAATAATAAATTCCTAAACATAAGAATGTGTTCGAAATTAAAAATAAAAATAATAATTAGTATTATTATTATTATAAGAATTAAACTTTTGAGGAAAATGCAAAATGGGAAGCTTATAATATTCTTTCTCTTATTTGTAAATAATAATAGGCGTGTTTTATTTGACCGTCATAAACTAATAGCAAAATTGTTGACAAAAGAAACGCACTTGGCTTATTTCATATTACCGTTTAAATAGGAACTGTGTTGGCAATGCGGGCAAGAAGTCAATTAAAATTCAATTTATTTCAAAATGTCTGACATGAAAAGATTAGTTTGAATTTTAAATTTGTAAACGGATTATTAACATACCATACAAATATATTAATTTTGTTTATTTGAGATCAAGAATACAAAAAAGCGGTGTTGAATCGACTAGGGACCTCATAGAACAGTATTCTAAAACTTTCCCTAAATGTTGGATTCTTACACAGCATTTTGTAATAAAAAGTTTTTACATCACCTATGAAAGTATAAAAAGTACGAAAATAAAATTTGCAGTAAAAGTCTTTTATTACGTTTAGGTATACTATAATATCGATACTGCATAAATTCTCTGGTCAAACTGTATCGATACTTTTCAGTAGTACGTTTTCAAACTTAGCCTATATATTCAGGAATGTTGTAGAACCTTATAATGGTCGGTATCAGAATTTAGGCCGATAAAAAAAATGTAGTAGGTGTCATGAATTCAGATATTATTGGTTTGACTTTCGAAACTGAAATTGTATCGGTTTTGGGTATCACGGAAACCTATTTTATCGGTTTTGTTATCAGGAATAAACAAATGCGTCTTTATTTAGACGATAGTGTGATATACATCTGTAAAATAAGCATACGTAAAGTACAAATAAATGGCAGCCAAATTTCACATCCGACCCCCCTGGTGCATCAGATGGATTACTGTGATCTTTTAATATCTTCCTTCTAATTTTTTCGTTGCTCTTTTCTTCCAATAAAATAAAAGCTAAAATAGCGGAACTCATTGTAAACTTTAGTAGACTTTAATCAGTACTTCAAATTTATTCATTTGCAAGTTTTGTCACACTAGCAAACAGCTGATTCAAATATTGGTTTTGCCTATGTTCGAAAAGACGAGAATCCATTCAGATTCTGTGACACCATTGGGAATCAGAATTGGTTTGCAATTCTAATAACTCTGCAAATCTGTCTTGGATTCCACAACACCCCTGATTATATCGGAATATAATAATTTATTGAATATTCATTTAGTTTATACATATTTCTTAAAATATTAAGATAAATAATGTCGATGCCTTTAAATATTTCTAATGTATAACATGTACTATGTTGTTTTTGTATCGCCAGTCGATACGTTGTATTGCAGCAAATACATACAAGTATATCGAAAAATGTATATATTTTAATTTTTAAAGCTATTGCATAAGAACATTTTTTGGAATCAAAAAATCTTCTATTGCTTAAATATATTTATATATTTGCCTTGCATGTTCATAAATAACGATGCTAAATATTTCGCAATTTCGTTTTTTATAGGTTTAAATCTAATATTTAGCAATTATTCCACTCTGAATATGGTATATAATATTAAGATTTCCACGAAGTTTGTAACACCTAGAAGGAAACGTCGGAGACCCCATGAAGTATGTAAGTACATATATATGTATGTAAATGATCAGCGTGACGAGCTGAGTCGATTAAGCCATGTCCGTCCACGTCTGTCTGTATATATACGAACCAGTTTTTGAGATATCGATCTAAAATTTTGCACACGTCCTATTCCCACCAAGAAGCTGCTCAACTGTCGGAACGGCCTATATCGGGCCGCAATAGCATATAGCTGCCATACAAACTGAACGATCGGAATCAAGTGCTTGTATGGAAAACTTTTTCATTTGACGAGATATCTTAACAAAATTTGGCATGGGTTATTGCCTAAGCCATTAATGCAATCGCCGAAAAATTGTTCAGATCGGATTACTATAGCATATATGTATTTGCCATACAAACTGTACCATCGGAATCAAGTTCTTGTATAGCAAAATTTTTCATTTGAGGAGATATTTTCACGAAATTTGGTATGAGTTATTGCCTAATTCAGTAATGCAATCTCCGAAGAAATGGTTTAGATCAAATTGCTATAGCATATAACTGGAATACAAATTGACCGATCAAAGTTGTTGTAAGGAATTTTTGTATATGTGAAGGGTATTATAGCTTCGGTGCAGCTGGAGTTAACGTTTTTTCTTGTTTTCAATTGAATTTATATATGATTTCATTTCTGTTCAGCTCATTATTTTAGAAATTCCTAATAATTTATTATACCGCCTAATGCATTAGAAAATCGTGTAAAAGAAAACAAATATGTATAAAGAATTATAAAAGTAGCTACATTGATATCAACCACAGATTTGAAATTACGTAAGGCGATCTCTTCATCAGTAATAAATTAAAACAAATAAAGGCTAAATTCGGGTGCAATTGAACATTTTATACTCTCGCTATTTGTAAGGATCAAAAGCTGTGAAATATTTTCAAGAATTTATATTAATTAATAGGGCAGGCTGTAGTAAACATTTTATTCTCTTCTCGAAAATCGAAGGACTCAAAGATGGGCAAATATTTGCAGGCGTTGGCAAATCATATGTTCAAAAATAGAAGAAATAATGAATTGTTGATAATTGGAAATTTCCAATATAGTTGTTATCAAATTAAGGGGGTCATCCCATGTGATGGGCTCAAAAAAATTGTTTTTCTTAAATTGAATCTAGAATACGGTAGTAAATTATTTTTAAAAATTCGATCTCGTTTTAAAGATACAGCAGTTAGAAGAACCTCTCCGAAGAAGCTTTAAGCGGACTTGAAACTTTAAACACCTTTTTCTCAAAACTGTGTTTTTAAAACTTTCCTCCATCGTATCTCAAAATCGACTATTATCAAAGAAAAATTAACAACTTAAGACTGCCAAAAGTCCAATATTTGGTATTTGCATTTGATAATAGTTTATTCCGCGAATTTAGGCTTACAGAGTAAAACGCCGCTAATTTTTAGTTTGTTTCAGATAAGCCAATCAGCCGGAATCGTGGAGGAAGTGGGAGCCCATCTTTTAAGGCGGGGGTGTTCAGAACGCTGTAACTCATGTCGGACAAATTTATACTAAAATCAATAAATTTTACTACTATTTACAACTAATGTCGATATATTTTTGGTACTTCATTTATGTATAGTAATCGGAAAGAATCAAATTCAGAGCGAAGCAGTTATATGGGAAGGTTGCGTGGTTATCTAATTTCGTTTCATTTCAAACTGAAACATGAAGATGTTAATATAATATTATGAATCAAATTTGGTTGAAATTGGTTAACTAGTTGGTGAAATATGGTACGTAACACTTATTATTTGTCAACATGGAACCCATTTGTTATTGTGCATATAAACAAAATTGTTTTAAAACTTATTTAAAGCAAATATGAAAATAATTCATATAAAATAAATATGTAGAAACAATGTAGTGAAGTGTTAGTGTATAATAAGTGCATAATATAAAAGAAAAGTTAACTATAAATCGAGAAATTGCAAGATAAAAATAAAATTTTCAACTTAAAATGATGTCCTCATTCCAACCACACCCCTTTTAACCCTGAAATCGTGGGATGATATACTAAAGCCGACCCCCCATATTTTGCAAATGATCAAATATAAACACATGTGAAAGATTTTGATTCCATAATCGTGTATTAACTTACGTAAAATCTTTAGAATTAGCGAAGTGTTAATACATATAAATGTTAGAAATGTAAATAGTTTAATTTTTGAACTTTAAATGCAAATATCTCAAAAACCATAAGAGAGCGGGAACTAAATGTATATTTTCCTAATCTCGAGAACCTCCTACTTTTGTACATACCAATTTTATTCGAAATGTAGATTAACGACGTTCTTTTTATTTTGTTCACAGACGACAATTGTAAATGCTAAATATTTCGCCGTGGGGCGCTTAAAAAAAAAACCGATCAAAGAGACATCACATGATTTGTTTATTATAGTCAAAATTATCCGAAAAAAACAATTTTTCGTCACCATGAGGTTCAAACTTGATAATTGCTTGATTGGTTCTGTGAATAAATGATTATATCACGAACAAAAATTAATTAAAATCCAGTCATACTTATGTTAAAAGCTGTGTATGCAGTTGTTAAAATATTCACAAAACGAACAAACGTTATTTTTGGGGAGAAATGATATTGTTAGAAAAATCGATAATACGAATTACTAAAGATGCGTCATCACCTTAACTATACATAGTCTTCTGTATATATTACTTAAAAATTTGTTCCTTTAGAAATACTCAGGGCTTAGAATAATGGTTTATCATCCCATTGTTTTTTTACGTTGGATTCAGGTAGAACATTTAAAATAAATGCAGATTCCCAAAAAATAACAAATGTCCAGATGAGACGTATAAACCCCCTAGCCTTAAAGCTAAATCGATCAAGTTTTTACACAACACTATGTATTGAACGTTTTACTTACTTTCAGAACTTATTTTTTAACTCCGAACACAAGTCAACTTAGATAAACAACTTTGATAAAGATATATAAAGACAACCAATAGCCAGAAAATAAATTTTTTAGTAATTGACAGTTACATATACACTTCTATGTGCATATTTCATCTCACAATGTAGCCATACTTTCAAAATACTTAAAGCACCCAAAGCTGAGTACGATAATCATTTCAACAATAACGACGGCGGTAAAATACAAAATAATTAATAGTATGTGCATGCGACTTCGTCCGGGTAATATAAATTATTATTTTACTAAAAATATAGTCTAGCCGTATCAGAGCTTAGCCGGAACTAACACACAACAATTTAAAAATATATTCTTTTGGTACAAAATCGGCTAAATTAGACGTTTATAACGCGAGAGCCTACTACAAATATGTTATAATTTTCTTGAGGAGTTAATGATAACTAAAGCTTTCTAGAGTAAGTTTTTAACTATGTTGATTTGGGAGTTAATATTGACCCTAAGCTTAATTTCAGTCTTCATATTGATACCATGGTCTTGAAGGCAAAAGCTATCCTCAGTTTTGTTAAACGTTGGTCTGAAGAATTTAGAGATCCGTATATTACTAAAACACTTTATACAACTTTGGTTAGACCTATATTGGAATATGGCTCTGTAGTATGGAACCCTAGCTACCAAATCCATTCTGACAAGTTAGAGTCGGTTCAAAAACAATTTTTACTTTTCGCCTTAGCACATTTCCGATGGGATGCTAGGGTAAGTCTACCTCCATACACTAGTCGTTTAAAACTTATTAATCTACCTACACTTTCTAGTCGTAGGGAAATGCTTGGCATAATATTCTTAGTGAAACTTTTGAATGGAACTGTTTGCAGTTCTTTTGTCCTGTCTGAAATTAAATTTAATTTCCCGGTTCGCCTTTCGAGGCAGTTTAGACCTTTACTGCTAAAATCCTGTAGATAAAATTTTTAACTAAACGAGCCATTCCGCCGTATATGTCATGATTTTAATTCTCATTCCAGCACATTTGATTTATCTGACTCACTTTTCAAAATTAAAAAGACTTTTTTGTTTTCTCTTAATAAATGAAAATGTAACAATTTATTATATTGTAACTTTAGATCTTAGCTGTTGAAATTTTTGTTTCTGTAGCTGAGCAGTTTTAGATCTCAACACCTAAAAAACTCTCTTGCCTTTTCTGACTCGGCTAATTCCGCACGTATGCGGATTGCGCCCCTCGCGTCGGTTGGGCGGGAGGAGGGTAATCGTTGGGTTTATTATTATATTATTATAAAAAAAAAGCTCCCTGGTATTTGCAATCGTCTATCCCAATCGTATTCAACTTTCAGCCTTATACATTACAACGGATTTCTCGATAAACCGTCTACCTTGTAACTCACTCTTGAGTTCGATCACTGGATTGTTAAATAAAAGTCCCAATTAAATGCTATACACCTATCTTTATTTCTTATTCCAACAACTCAACACTTATTGACTAGAATGCTGTTGAATTCCTTAGCATTCCTTCCTCCGTTGGCGTTAATTTCAAATTTTAAATCAATCGGTAATCGAAGATCATTACCAAAAATTACTCTTGCTGGAGTCTGCCCTGTTGTTTCATGTACAGCAGATCGATAAGCCATCAGGAACAAGGATATATGGGTATTGTTGATACTTGTCCACAACTTTCCTCAAATGTTCTTCCAAAGTTCGATTGAATCGTTCTACTATGCCATCGGACTGCGGATGTAGTGCAGTTATACGCGTGTTCCGGATACAAAGCTTCTGTCTCCTAAGTTAGAGATGATTCAAAATTTCTCCCTTGATCAGAATGTAATTTTATTGGAACACCATATCTCGATACCCAATTGTTGATGAATACATCCGCTACTTTTCCTGCCTCTTGGTATATCTCTTGCCACTTGCTGAAATAGTCCATGACTATCAAAACATATTTGTTTCCTAATTTACTGATAGGAAATGGACCAGCTATAGCCATGGCAATTCGCTCAAACGGGGCACCTGAATTGTAATGCTTCATCTGACCGTGACTTCTGGACTTCAGCCCTTTAGCAGCAATGCACTCGACCCAATTGGCGATCCACTCCGTAACTGATTAACGACAACCAACCCAATAAAATCTTTGTTTTAATTTCTCCAAGGTTCCGGAATTCTTACTTTTGAAACAATCATTAGATCGCGAAAGCTCTTTCCATCTTCGATTTCCCATACGCGACGCAATTAGCCAGACACTAACTTCAAACTATTGCATTGTGCCCAATAAGCCTTTGCGACTGGGCTTTCTGCAGCTATTTCTTCTTTCGATTTATATTTATATATCTGCAATCCATGTATTACACTTTTCAAATCTGGATCTTCTTGCTGACATTTCCGTAGCTTCTTCGGATCGCAGTCTGATGTTATAGTCATTAATCGGACATCTATAATGTCTTCTTTGGCCTCAGATTTCTAGCAATGTCTGCATTCCAAATTACGTGGACGGCGGGACACGGCTGCAGCATTTCCATGACTACTACCTTTGCGATGTTCTTTAAAGAAGTTGTAGCTTTGGGGTCTCTCAATCCACCGTGCCGAGTGTCCTTCTGGGTTCCTGAATTGTAGAAGCCATTTTAATGCTGCATGATCTGTCCTTACCCGAAATCGCTGGCCATAAATGTACTTATGAAAATGTTTGATGCACTTTACCAACGCCAGGAATTCCCTCCGAGTAACACAATAATTTCTCTCTGGCTTGCTTATGGTCTGGCTGCAACCACTTTCTCATGCCCATCAATGACATGTGATAGAACGGAAAGCCACTTCCTGTTCTTTATTCCATTCAAAAACTCTGTTCTTTTTCGTGAGTTCCTGGAGGGTATTAGCTACGCTGGCAAAATTTAGATTTTTACCAAAACATCTCCACTGGAACATTCTGGCAACTACGAATTTCGCTATTTACTTGTTATTGTTCACTCGAGTATAAGTTAAAAAAATGGTAGTTTTGTTAAGCGAGTGGGGAAAAAGTAACACATTGTCCCTCGGATATTCCCGCTCTGTCCTATTACAATTATGGCAGGTTGTCTCTTTCTATGATAGCTCTTCATTGTGTATCCTATTGGTTCTGTTTTGGTTATCAGTAAGGCATATATTGGTTACCGAATCTGTTAAGAGTCTGTTAGATGTAACAAATGTATGTGCTATTTTCATGTGTTAGCGAATGGGTTACCTACGTGTAATTCAGAATAGCAATATCAGTTACCCTAAGAGTTATTGTTTTAGTTAGCAGTTTGTTACCTCTAACATATTAACATGTTAGCGCAGTTGTTACCTATTTGCTAGCAGTAACAAGCATATCTGTTACTTTATTTTAATCGACTTTATTGGTTATCCATCTTTTAAATCTAACAAATGCATATTTTAGCATATCGGTTGCATTTTTGTTACCATAATCAATACCAATTGTTTTAAATAAAATTCAGTATTTTTAATATTAATTTGCTTTATTTTATTCAAAAAATTTATTAACTAAATCTAATTATTAAAATTAATTAATAATCTATATGTATACATTTAATTAATATGGATATATAAAAATAAATTTATATATAAATAAATATGTATATAATAATATCAATATTATTAAATATATATTTATAAATATATATGTACACAGTATAATTTATTAATATACACAGTATAAATATATATATTAACACTTAAAATGTATACTTAAACAAGTAAAGTACATTTCACTACACAATATTATGAATAATTACATATATATACTACAATTATAAATGTATACGCATAAAGTATATTGGAAAATATGATGGCTGGTCAAAGGCACGTTAACTAAGCTATGCGCAATCTACTGAGTAGCATAATGAGCCTGTATAACAAAGCCGAGAAACCGCAGAATCAACCGAAAAAACTTATGGTTGGGAAAGCAACCCAAGTGTTTCCCATTTATAAAGAAATAAATACCCCAAAACGGCTGTGCGAGACATCGGGGTACTTACCCCCCAAAAAAACAAAAAAAAAGCTGTTGAAAAAGTCCAACCAACAACCAGTGAGTCCACGAGAATAATAAAGAAAAACAATAGCGGTCAACATACTACAGGCGAAAAATGGGGGACGTTGTGAAAAAGAAGAAACCGACTCAGAAAAAAATAAGAACGAAAACGGACGCTATCAGAATAACCAAAAGGAGGGTCATATGCTGACATTCTGCGGAAAATAAAAAGCGACAGCGGTCTTTAAGAGTTGGGTTCAAACGTGACCTACATACGGAAAACTATGAAGGAGACCTACTGATTGAATTAAAAAATCAGGCAGACTAGAAAGCCGAATCGTTCGAAAGAGTCTTAGAGGGAGCGGTGGTTGAAATGACGGTGATATATCCAAAATCCCACAACGTTACAATAGTGTGTAAGGACCTAGACGAAATTACAACTCCTGAAGAAATCTGCGAAGCACTACAAAAGGAGTGTGGGATCGAAAACCTGGAAAAAACAAGCGGGAAAAGTATGAGAAAAACCCGTAGTGGCACACAAATAGCTCTTTTAAGCCTGCATGCTCAGGATGCCAAGGCTGCACTAAATCTGGGCAAAGTTAGGATAAGGTGGTCGATCTGTCGTCTCCGGGAATACTCGCCTATCCTGCGTTGTTTTAGGTGTTTAAACCTGGGGCATATGGCACGAAAATGTTGCAACCCGACTGAAACTTCGTCTCTTTGCACGCGTTGTGGAACTGGAGGACACGTATGCATAAATGCTCCAAAATGCATGATTTGTAAAGGGGAACATTCAATCTTAAGTACAAAGTGCCCGAAATATCTGGAGATGAAATCACTAAAAGAAGAAGATATTGCAGCTAAATCTAAATCACTGTGTTGCAGCACAAGACCTGCTCAAACAAACTATTATAGAAAAAAATATTGATATCGCGTTATTAAGCGATCAATACTGCCAGCGTTCGGAAAGCACTTGGA